TGAGGAACCTCTCCATGGTCAGCTGCTTCTGCCGCCTTTTCAGGATCTCTCTGAAAGGGGACATGATCCTTTTGTCATATGCGTTTGAAAGGTCACGTGCCAGAGCCTTGTCCGAGTGGTACCGCCGTGCTTGAGTCTGCACATTTTGCCACTGTTCTAAGATCTCCTTTAGTTTAGTGGTGGACAGGTGTTCCTTGCCTGGCATTTCTCCCCTTTCCAAAGAGGCCTGCTCTTCCGTAGCCTCTGCCTGAAGTTTTACCAGCTCCTGGGTGGACAGATCCCAGTCGTGGCCCTCCACCAGTTCACAAATGCCCTCCTCTTTGACATCGAGGCCCATGGCCCTCCCCAAGGCAAGAATATCCTCCAACCCTGTTGACTCTGGTGCAGGCACAAAAGCAGCCTCTCCATGCCTGACCACGCCGTGGATGCCAGATCTGGTTTTGAAGCGTTCAAACCAGCCTCTGCTGGCCTTGAAGCCTTCTGGCTCGGCTGAGGTTCCTGCCTCTTGCTCCACGAGGTCTGCGTACAAGGCCTTGGCCTTCTTGCAAATGACAGCCTCAGTCACTGTGTCCCCTGCACGCTGCTTCTCTTGCATCCAGATGAGCAGCAATTTCGCCACCTCCTCCAGAACAGCCGGCCGGTTCTTCGCGATCCTGGTGACTCCCTTGGCTGCATCTGTGGCAAGGAACTTCTCCCTCTTTGCCACGATGGTGCCGATGGTGGATGGATTCCTCCGGTACTCCCTGGCGAGGTCTACCACTCGCATGCCTCTGTCATACTTCTTGATGATCTCCTTCTTCATCTCTACAGTAATCTGCCCCCTTGTCATCTTCCGGGCCTCTGCAGAAGCAGCAGCCTTCTTGGGACCCATGTCAGCAATGCTGCTACGTTCACAAAAACAAAAGGCAGAAAAAAAAGGCAGTGCTTCACATCCATTTGACACACACCTTCCCACCTTTGGCCAAAACTCCCCTGGACAAACAAGTGGCATAACACACGTCCCTCAACACAAGCTAAGCCCCCCCTACCTTTCTGGTGCAAATTAAAAAATAAAATTGGCGTAACCCCCCCCCAACACAAGCTAAGCCCCCTACCTTTCCTCTGCAACTTACTAAAAAAATGGCATAACACCTCACAAGCTAAGCCCCCTACCTTTCCTGTGCAACTTAAAAAATTAAAATGACGTAACACCCCACCAACACAAGCTAGGCCCCTACCTTTCCTCTGCAACTTACAAAAAATA